AGAGACACATGACACGTCATTCAACAGTAAGACGTTCAAACTGTTTGAGTCATAAGAAAAGTGTCAGAAAGAAGAAARATYTAGAGTCACACAGAGAAGTCCAGACACAACCCAAACCATTTTGTTGTGATGAATGTGGTAAAAGATTTACCAAAAAATCATATTTAAACAAACACATGAGGGTCCACACAGGAGAGAAACCATTTGTGTGTGAGGACTGTGGACAAAGATTTACCCAGAAGACAAATTTTAACTCACACATGAGAATCCACACAGGACTAAATATGTTTAATTGTGAGGACTGTGGAAAACGATTTAGATATAGGACAAGTTTCAACAGACACACCAGAATCCACACAGGACAGAAACCTTTTGAATGTAAAGATTGTGGACAAAAATTTAGCCTGAATACAAGTTTAAATTCACACATGAATGTCCACACAGGAGACAAACCATTTAAATGTGAGGATTGTGGAAAAAGATTTAGCCAGAAAATAAATTTAAACAGACACATGAGAATCCATACAGGACAGAAACCATTTAAATGTGAGGATTGTGGACAAAAATTTAGCCAGAAGATAACTTTAAACAGACACATGAGAGTCCACACAGGAGAGAAACCATTTCAATGTGAGGATTGTGGACAAAGATTTAGCCAGAAGATAACTTTAAGCAACCACATGAGAGTCCATACAGGACAGAAACCCTTTGAATGTCAAGATTGTGGTCAAAGATTTAGCCGGAAGATAACCTTAAACTCGCACATGAGAGTCCACACAGGACACAAACCATTTGAATGTGAGGACTGTGGACAAAAATTCAGCTGGAGGACTAGTTTAAACTCACACATGAGAGTCCATACAGGACAGAAACCATTTGAATGTGAACTTTGCGCACAAAGATTTAGCCGGATGGTTACTTTAAACACACACTTGAGAGTCCACACGGGACAGAAACCGTTTCAGTGTGAGAACTGTGGACTAAGATTTAGCTGGAGGACTAGTTTGAACACACACATGAGAGTCCACACAGGACAGAAACCATTTGAATGTGACAACTGTGGACAACGATTTAGCCATAAATCAAGTTTAAACACACACCGGCGAGTCCACACTGGACAGAAACCATTTGAGTGTGAAAACTGCAAACAAAGATTTAGCTATAAATCAAGTTTAGACAAACATATGAGAGCCCACACTGGAGAGAAACCATTTGAATGTAAGGACTGTGGCCAAAGGTTTAGTCAGAGGAACCATTTAAAAAGACACACAAAAGTCCACAGGAAACAAAGCTCTCCTTTGCAGTGACTGAGGTCAAAGTTTTAGACTTGAGTCTGATCACAYTATTCTATTTCAGAGGCTTGAACTTAATATTAGGATTACAGGAACAGCTCTAAAATGGTCTAAGTCTTATTTAATTGACAGATTAGTTTATTTGTTAATGTTAATAATAAATCCTCTTCTTACACTAGAGTTAGTCATGGAGTTCCTCGGGGTTCAGTGCTTGGACCAATCCTCTTTACTTTATGCTTCTATTAGGTAAAGTTATTAAACAGCATGGGATAAATTTCTATTATGCTGATGATACTCACATTTTTATCCATGAAACCTGATAAATCCAACAAGTTACTTATAATACAAGCATGTCTTAACGACYTAAATACTTGGATGACTCTTAATTTTCTGCTTCTAAACTCAGATAAGACAGAGGTTGTGGTTTTTGGAGGGATCAACTTTGCAGCCTTTCACTTCCTCTGGATGGCATTAATTTGGCCTTCAGTTCTAACATAAAGAACCTTGGTGTTATTTTTGATCAGGATGTGTCTTTTAACCCCCACATTAAAAAAGTTACCGGGATCGCCAGGACCTGTGTAATATCACTAAAATTAGAAACATCTTGTCCAAAAGTGATGCAGAAAATCTGTTCAAGTCAAATTAGTTGTGGCTTGATCAGATTAATTGAATGTTAAAACAAGTCCTAWAGACAGATAGTTCTCTCTGAAGTAAATCCGAACAGTTCCAGAATTTATTTTGTGTAGTTTGGAAGCAAACTACACAATTCTTACTGACAGTTTTTCATGTTCTTAGATCTTTGTTCTTTGTTTCTGTTTGAAAGCTCACAACCGACGTTTTTAGGGAGATAAATAGACAAGTTTTATAAAGTTGATTAGTTTATTTGTTGGTTTATTTCAGGTAAAATAACATATTTAGGTTTTCATGTTGTTCACATCATTCTTTAGTTTGTTTTGGATTTTCAAATAAAAAATCTTAAAAGTAAGTGTTTAAATTAGTGCTGGCCATAGATTAAAAATTTTAATCGCGATTAATCTCAAGGTATTTTTGTGATTAATCGCGATTAACCCCCACCCATCCCCCCCAAACAATCACTTTACAATGGCTGAATATGTAGGTTTGTATATTGCAATACACTCCATGTGTAACACATTATGTAGGCCTACAGTTTTCTCTTTTTATCTTCTTATGGCTTATTTTATTTATTTATGTTTTGCTGACAACTGTGATCRTAGTATCTATCTTTCAGTCCTCATGAAATTTCATGGTCATTTCAACTCTTTTGGAATGGAAAAAATATTGAATTCTTGATTTAACCTCATTCTGCAAAAAAAAATGTAACTGACTCAAAGATGTTTGGAGCATTTTTAGGTCCTGTTTTATATTCAAATTGCGGTACAAACTGTTTTATTGTCTGTTTTATGTGTATCTGGTTTTATTGTGAAAGACTGCACAGGAAGTGAATACAGTGAGGAGGATGCAACTTGTTGGTTGTTGGGTTCGGAAAATTAAAGACGTGTTTAAGTTGCTCTACAAGACATCAGAGGTTTGGTATTGAAACAAATAATTGTGTTTTTTGTGATGATACTGAAACAACAGAACATTTATTCTTTCAATGCATGTATGTTGAAACATTATGGTCTGATATGTTTGACTGGTTATTTCCCAAAGTTCCCAGTCTCCAAATGTTCTCTGAAAGCAATATAATTATGGACTTATTATGGACAATAACATCAGTGACTTTCTCATCAACACTATTATCATTCTGGGGAAATTTTTCATCCATAAAGCTAAATATCTTAAGGTTAAACCAAATTTCTATCATTTTCACATTGACTTTATTTTGTACTGCAATTCTCTTAAAGTGATGCACACTAAACATGCCCACAATCTGTGCTCTTTAATTGAAGAGTATGATTTAACATCTAAACCCTAGTCTTTTTTTTCTTGTTGTTCCTTCTTATTTTTAAACTTATCTTTATTTGCACCCATCCTTTTCTCTTTTATGCAAGTTTGTTTGTTTGTAATACGCCTTATTGTTTGTACATTGTATTATTTTGTGTGTTCTTTGTTGTTTAATAAAAAGAAAGTTGCTCTACAAGGTGTCGCTTGAATCCTTGCCTCAGAACACAACACAAATAAGGGGCAGTGCATTTAAAACATTTTTTAACAAATAAAGCAAAGCATGCTGGTCTTACTTTTTCCTCCCAACACGCCTCAACCTCGTCTGCAGAACCTCCTCTGTTTATACTGGTGATGTTTCAACCTCGAACTGCTCAGGTGGTGAGACGGAGTTGCATAGCTTACAGACAACTTTACTTATTTCCAGCCCACCGTCGGGAAAAGTTTTGAAATTAAAAAAAAAATGCCCTTAAGAATCCGGTGAATTCCGCCATGTTTCTGCCCCGGGCCAGCAATTAAATAGGCAATTAAATATTCACAATGTAAATTTATTACTATAAATGAAGGTGAGTCATGCAAATTCATGTTTGTATTAAACAAGTATTTTAAACTCAGACTAAAATAACTTTGAGTCTACTTTTTTCAAATGTTCCTTCAGCTTTCTTTGAAATTGTTTGTGTTATTTTACATTGTTTCATTAATTCTTGATCCTGTGTTGTAATAAATGACCAAAAGACAACTGAAGTTTCTTTCTTCAGTGAGTGAGAAAACATTTATTGTGCGGTTAAATATTATCACATCAAATTACAAGTTCATCCTTCAAGGGCTTGTATTTATCAAACTTAGAGTGGAGTTTTAGACTTAAGTGCTGAAAAGTTCTTAGAAGTGAAAAATGTGTTTATCTCTGGGGTTTTCGGTCGCTGCTGTAATGCTCAGGAAAAATGACTGACAGGCGTGAAGTTAGCAGGAAACAGAAATTTTTATTTCAGAATAAAGCCTGCACCAAACTATGAGTTCTCTTGGCCAATTGYTGAAAAACTCAACTCCTGGGGTCTGCCCTCCTTTTAAAAGCAAGTCACTGCTTGATTTAGACATTTCACACATGTATTTTGAGGCGGCTGAGAATGATTAAAATTAGGTCTTTTCCTTGTAAGTTGTTGAAGCTGACGCTGCTCTATTGCAGCTGACATGCACAGAAGTGTACAAATGTATTCTTAGACCACAGTTGTGTAAAACGTTAGAGCGACAGGGCCGTATCATCCAACACAAGCAAAGTAATATTTCATGTCCCATGTTGTTATTTAGTGTTTAATAAAAGTGTTAATTGAAGTAAATGAGTTAGTTTAGTCCAGGTGATGTGATGAAGCAGTCTCTTCTCTTAAATGTCAGCAGATCAAACAACACCTGGGAGGAGAGCAGCAGGTGTCACATCTCATCAGGTCTGAGGGAGCTGAGGGACTAAACAG